GCCGACAGACAACCCTTTAAAGGCGTCGAAAACTACTTCACGGATTCTCTGCTGTACCAGGACCCCGACGTGCCGCCGGCGGAGGACCCGGAGAGCGGCAACGAGGCGGACAGCGAGCTTCGAGTCAATTGTAATCGGTTACGAGAGTCACAATGTAACCAACGCTGTTCAGGCGGAGGAAATTATCATGAATGAGAAGTCCAACTTTGCTTATTTGTCGTCTTGCTCCACATCCGAGGATGATGCGCCCAATAACCTATGGTCAAAACTCTACAGTGATCCTTCCCTGCACTTGCCAGTATGCTCGTCATACGTCACCAAGGCACAACCGATCAAGTCATCACAAGCTGTGCTCATTGTGCCAGCACGGAATAAGTATCGAAAAGATATTATCTTCGGTCGAATCGATCATCCCATACGCACGCTATGGGACGAATCTGAGGACGAGGACCCGGCGCCCCAGTTTTCGCAATACAGTCAAGTTGCGAAGCGCATGATGAGCGACATGGGGTATGACCTCACTCGCTTGGAGGGATTGAATTACGGTCGAGGGCGCAGAACGGTCATCCGACCTGCCTACGTACCCAAAGGGAAACCCTCAAATTACTTCAACAAGACTCGGAGAGGCTTAGGCTATTCCTCCTCTTCGTCGGATTTGTGTTTTTACGCCAACGAGGATTCCGACTATGCATGCTCGGGGGATCAATCGTCAACAACCTCGGCATGGGACTCGGATGTCAGTGTGAGGGATCTGTTCATTCAAGATGCACCCTGAGGATGTCATCATTGACAACACGTGCAGATTCGAGAGGATGTCCTTCATGGATGGTTTCTCGGGGTACAATCAAATCAAGATGCACCCTGAGGACGAGAAGCACACTTCATTCAGAACCCCCATGGGGATGTACTGCTACACCGTTATGCCCTTCGGACTCAAAAACGCTGGCCTAACCTACCAACGCGCCATGAGTATGATCTTCTGAGATCATCTGCGGAAGACGATCGAATGCTACGTGGATGACCTGGTCGTGAAGAGTCGCCATAAGGAGGACCACCTCCAAGACTTGAAGGCAATGTTCGAACTCATGAGGACTCATCAACTCAAGATGAATCCTACTAAGTCATTCTTAGGGATGTCTAGCGGCAAATTCCTCGGTTTCGTCATCACGACGAAAGGAATCTGGATTGATCCAGACAAGGTGCGAGCTATTCAAGAGCTTCAACCGCCCCGAAACCTTAAAGAGCTAAGAGGGCTTCAGGGACGATTGGCTTACATCCGAAGGTTCATCTCAAATCTTTCGGGCAAATGTCAATCCTTCTCCAAGCTAATGAAGAAAGGTATTTCCTTCGTGTGGGACGAGCCTTGCCAAAAGGCCTTTGAAGAAATCAAGGCTTATCTCTCAAACCCGCCTGTCCTTGCGGCGCCAATCTCAGGGAAACCATTCCTCATATATTTATGGGCCATGGAACATTCTCCAGGCGCCCTCTTGGCGCAAAACGATGATGCGGGCCACGAGAAAGGCATCTACTACCTGAGCAGAACCTTGCAAGGCGCCGAACAGCGATACCCAATGGTCGAGAAGGAATGCCTGGCCTTAGTATTCGCCATCCAAAAGATGCGACACTACCTGGTTGGCCAGACAATTCACGTTATTTCCCGGATGAATCCCATCCGGGTCTTCATGACACAACCTGTAGCGTTAAACTGGCGCCTGGCCAGGTGGGCACTTCTGCTCTCTAAATATGACATCCACTTCATGCCACAAAAATCAGTCAAGGGACAGGCCATCTACGATCTCATGGCTAGTCACCCGCTGGGGTCTGCAGCGTGAACTTGCCTTCCCATAAGTCTCGCTTGTAGTCTAAACTCGCCAACGGTCAGATTTGGTCTTCAATACGAGCTCGCCACCATAAGAGTTTCGCCTGCAGCCTGAATTCGCCAACAGTCAGTTAACCTTCAAGCAAACTCGCCATCAAGCTAGTTTCACTTACAGCAGGAACTCACCAGCATTCTGGAGAGTGGCTTGCAGTGCTAATTCGCAATCACTCGAGTTTGCCTACAGCGTAAACTCGCCTATACCGGAGTCGAACCTTCGACGTAAACTCATCACCGTTCGAGGGGTTTCGCCTACAATATTAATGTTTGCGTCAAAAGTTGGTTTTGTCATGAAATTCATTATATCTTCGGTCGATTATAATAAATTCAAAGGAATAGTCTTTTTATAAGACCTCATTTACACAACAAAAGAAAATTACAACTCTTGAGAAACAAACGCAGGATCGTTGTTTGGATCGCTGCTTGCGTGGGATCTTTGCCTGTGCCGGGAGTGCTTTGACTCGTGGACCACCAAATCACAGATTCTGATTGAATCGTGAGGGGTTTATGATTCTAACTTCGTTTATCGAAGTGAGAACTTGAAACGATATCTTATCGAAGTAAGATAGTCGTTCTTCTTAAAATCAAGTCAAAGCTCAATTCCAAGGAGTTGCTGGAAGTTCACGAACTCTGCTCTCTCTCTCTGCTCTGGATTGCTCTGAAGTGCTCAAAATGATCAGCCTGTGGATGCTCTCTCCTCCGCCCCCTCAAAAAATGGCCTTCGGGGGGTATTTATAGCCCCTATGAACAGTTGGCGGAAAACAGGCTCGCGAGACAGCATTTGCTGTCTCGGCGGGCGAGACATGTGTTTGCTGTCTCGCCCGCGAGACCATGTAAAACGCTGTCTCGGAAACAGTAACCGTCAGGCAGTTTTTGTTTTAACTGCCTTCCCACCCACGTTTCAAACTCTGTTATTTTGGCAGTTATCCACGTGATTCTCGCCCACGACGTTTCCCACGTTCTTGAACAGTTAGTGGCCACGTGTAGAGCAGTTACAAAGGTGGTTTTGACCATCTGAGAACTGTCTCACGTGCGAGAAAGTAAACTCTGTCTCGCACGGCGAGACAGTAAAGACTGTCTCTCACGGCGAGACAGTCAAGTCTGTCTCGCGTGCGAGACAGTCTATACTTGTGTTCTTTTTGACATTTTGGATGACTTCCTTTTGAGCTGTGTTTGGATATCTCTCAGCATTTTTTGACGCCTAGAATTAAGTCACCGTCGGCCATGCAAGCAAAACACCGAACGACGACATACTAAAAGGAGGTGTGCGTAACAAGAAGACACGAACTTCATTAGATGCTTCTAGACAGTACATTTGAACAAAGTTATGGTTTTTGCAACTGCGAAAGTCATAATATTACATTCAAGAAGCAAAACATGCACCCAGTTTTTAAGACAATACATTTGAACAAAGTTATGGCTTCGTAAACAAACAAGTCACAAGCAAAATGTCTTAACACAATCACAAGTCCGAGATCTCAGTCGGATAGGCTAAAAGAGGAGAGCTCTTCTTTGGCCACTCCCACCCTTCTCGCGTGGTCCTCCCAAGCTTTGTCTTCAGCCGCCTTCCGAATTCGGTCTTGGAGAGCTTGACCTGGCGGCAGCATCTTCCTGGCGCAAGGCTTGGAGGCTTTGAGTTTTCGCCTCAGCGGTCTTGCTGACCTTTACGACCTCGGATTGGAGCCCCTTCAAATTCGCCTCTGCCTGCCCCAATTTGGCCCTCAGGCGAGATATAGTGCGATTGAGGTCGATAATTCGCTCCTCTAACAAGTGTTGTTGACCCACCCAGAAGTTGACGATGGATTCCAAGTCCGCTATTTCTTTGGAACAGACCTCCTGTTCCTAGGCTTCCTGACGCCTGACATGAACCAGGCAAGACTCCACGTCGACTTCCGGACCTTCTCGTAGCAATGTCTCTAGCCTTATCATACGCGACTCCAAAAGACGGAGCTCCTGCATGCAACGTGTAGCAAGCCGATTTTCGCCCGACCGCCGAAAGTCGACCACGCGATCCAGGAGAGATTGCCTGAAACTATCAAAGCTGCCCATGCCAAGGTTGACGAGGGAAATCACCTGCCTCACGGTATTCTCAAACTCTTCGACACGAGCCTGCAAGGGCGAGGATTCATAGGAAGCAGGCTCTTGACCCGGAGCGAGCGCCGCAATGGGTGGAACCTCGAGATAGGGTTCGGTTCCCGGCTGAGGAACGGAGCCTGAGGCAGCGAAAGTCGCAGGACCTTCAGATTCGTCGTCAGATATTAGGATGGGCTCGGCCGCATGCTCTTCGGCGGTCGGCGCCTCTTCTTGATCTATGAAACACAACAATAACACAGGGAAGAGTCAAAGGAAGAATATCTGCTCAACCCACGTGAAAGTCGGGACGAAAAGATACCTTCGGCCGCGGCGGCCTCAGCAGTGCCCGAAGAAGACGCCTCCTTCCTTTTCTTAGAAGCAGCTCTCTTTACCTTCGGTGCCATTATGGGTACGATGAAAAGAAAACTTGGGTTTCCTCTAGGGAAGACAATGAAAGAAACTATAGCCTCTCTTAACAGAGGGTAAGGGCGTTAAATACTCTAAAAAAATCCTAGACGGTTACTCACCACTCGATTGGACCGTTCAGGGCCAAAACAGCCGAGAGTAAGGCCGAACAAATCGGATCTCACCTGGATGGCTAGGATCCGACGGTTCCTGGACACGATCTTAAGCAACGGTCCGAACTGGGCGCGATAGACGAAGAGCCCCACTACGCCGCATTTAATGCGAAACGACGTGCCCACATCCTCCTGGCTGACGTACACGTGGATCAGTACGTGGCCCACTAAAAACGGAGTCCACCCGACGTCAAATTCATCGTTGAGGTTCCCGCAGGCCAAAATCAATTGGATCCGCATACCCCTCTGGAACTTAAGTCAGTTCCCAATCCGCCTGCGGATGAAATCCGCCCACGAAGGAAACAAACTTACGGCCGAAATTCGCCGATAGCTGAAAACACCCCTACAGCTAAGACTCTCTAGCTAACGCATGTTAAAAAAAATGGAGCATGCACAGAAGTAATAGTGATCAAGAGCAAAAGGATAATTTTATTCATAAAGAAATCCTATTACAACGGGGAATTAAGGGCAAATTACAAAGCTTTCAACCGTAGTTCCGCCTCACGAATCTCTCCGGCTAGGCGAAGCTTAAGCCTCCTTAGGACCTCTCGAAGAAGATCTTCCTCGGTGCGTGAGACTAAGTCCTGAACGGCATCTTTGACCTCCTTGAGAGCTCGATATTTCTCCTCAACAGAATCGGCGACCAATTGCCGACGAGACTCAATGTCCTCCAACTCCTTTGCCGCCTGCTCACGAGCCTTCTCTTGAATGACCAAAGAAGCCTGTGCATTAGCTATAACTTGTTTCAGTTCCTCTATCTCGGAGGATAGGCGAGAAAGGCGGTTATCAGCTGTTTGTTGCTCATAGGCCACTCGTGCATCCTCAGCCTTGGCCTGCTCCAATTCTGCGGACAACCTTATCTCTAGTGACATAGTCTCATTCAGGCGGCGATCGCGGTCTTCCACTGCTGCTCGGACTTCGTCGGAGGCGAGATCAACAATTGCGGTCTTCCACTGCTGCTCCGCATGAAGGGCGAGCAACTGCTGAACAGCCTCCTCCACTTCTTTCAGACGCTAAAAGTACGGCTTCGCCGCGGTGGTGCCAAGCCTCTTGATTAAGAAGAACATGTTGTGATCGAGGTCCTCCTTGAGCTCCTCGAAAGGACAACTCTCCTCCAAGGCGAGTTTGACGCAGTCAGCCAAGATGTCTTGAAAGTTAACCAGGGCTCGGGCCGTGCTCCTCTTCCACAAACGTTCCAAGGGAGAAAGGGCGGCTTCCTCTGCCAAAGCCGGTATGACCGCCGACGCCATCGGGGTAGCAGCCACGGCACGTGGTTACGATTGAAGTGATGATGGTCATAACCGCAGAAACGGGGGTGAGAGACGCCGAAGCTGGTAGGACCACCGATGCCATCGGGGTAGCGTTGTTTTTTTTTTTAGCCACTACAGAGGAGGAAGCGGCCACCAACCGAGTGGAAGTCCCCCTCTGAATCGGAGACTCTTGCGATGAGGGTTCACCCCCAATCGGTGCTCCCGCGGGAGTGGAGGTTTCCTCTTGTTGGCCGGACACGTCCTCAGGAGACAACGCCTCTTCCTCGCTAGATAGCGCCTCATGAATCGAGACGTCGTCATCCGCCTCTGATTCACCCATTTCTCCGGCCGAATGACCCTCCCAAGAAGGAGGATCCTCCTTGCCAGTAGCTTCATAAGAAGGGCCGACTGCGGATGCAAAGAGAAGATTGACAAATGCCCCTTCGGCTCAGAAGGATCAACAACACTTAAACCTATGCTTACCTGAATCACCGGGCTCTTTTCCGTTTCCGGTCTCCCCCTTTTCGTCCGAAGGGATGGAGATTACTCTCTCGGCTGCACCTGCACAAATTAGACATAAATGTCAGAAGATACAGATCCGGCTTTGTACCCGAGAGTACCAAAAATTATTACCTCCGGGTGCGGGCGTAGGAGTCGTTGAGACCCCCGCCTGTGGCCCCACACCAGATGGAGGAGGAGTGTCCTTCGAAGTCACCGGAGCCGCCTTCGATACGGCAGAAGAGGTAGACCGAACAGCTCCAGCCCCAGAGGCAGCATCATCCTGACCCTCCGCCGCTCTGGCAGCCTCCACAGTTTCCTCGCAACGGGCCTTCTTGCCCTCCACCGCCATCTCCCGCTGCCGCTTGGAGATCAGCGAACTACTCAGAGATAGAAGGGGTATTCCCATCCACCCAGCTATTGTGCTCTGGGCTCGTTCCAGTCGCTCGCCTGCCCGGATTAACTCGTCAGCTTCTCCCCGCTCACTTTGGGGGTCCAACGAAGGACCAGGAGAGGGAGCTCGGGCCTCGGGCGCTTCAGACTCGTCCGGACCCACGTCGCCGCCTTCAGTGTCTTCAGCCGGATCCTCTGACAACCACTCCTTAACAGTTTGGCGGCCCCTCCATCTTGAAGTACGGGGAGGCCTTCTGGGAGGACCCCCTGCTCTGCCAAACACGAGCCTTGGAACTAGAAGCCTTCGGGATTAGCGCTGGCACCCCGATACCACCAGCAGTACAGGAGAGTATGATGCAAATCACGATCCTTCACGGGTAGTTCAAAATGGGCATGGGTACCGCCAGCATGAGTCCAGAACCATCCCTGAGCTCCATCCACCAGCCCGCCCTCGAAGTGCAGGTGGGGATTGGCGTTGCCCACGTATAATTGGTCGTACCCAAACTGGCGGGCGAACCTGCAAGGGATATACGGCTCGAGATAGCATACAGAACCTGTTCGTAAGATATGATACCCCGGCCAAATGTTCACCAACCATCAAAAAGCGCCGCGCGAGAGAACTGTGTGATGATCCGCCGTCGGCGCATCTCTAAGAGACTCCCCGTATCCTCCTCCACTAAAATAAGGAAGGAAAGCGTCTTCCGCGTGTCGGGAATGTCCTTACACTTCCAAGAGCACCTCTCCAAGCGCTCAACGAACGGAACAAACCTGTCTCCCGGAAGAGTCGCAGAGGCGCTCATCAAGCATTCGCAGTGGTAGACGAACCACGCCATCAAATAAGTATACGGCAACCCCACCCTAGGATTGGGGGTCCTAATGACCTCTCCGTCCCCCTCATCAATAGTCGATACACGACAGAATTGGGTCGTCAGGGTGCGAAGCCCCCGATGGATACACGCTACCATCGCCGACACCAAGGAATAGGACAATTGGGTCGTCAGGGTGCGAAGCCCCCGATGGATACACGCTACCATCGCCGACACCAAGGAATAGGACCTCCCGTGGGCTAAGCAAATCGCGGGGTACAAGACTTCCACGGGAAGAGCCTCAAAAGAGTGAGTGGGGATTACGCACCTCTTTAGCCACAACATGAGGTACCCCGCAAACAGAGCCTTCCCAGATATAGGAGACTTGGCCTGGTGGTGAAACGAGTGGAAGACCGTTCCAGATTTGAACCCGCCCTCGTCATGCTCGAGAACTACGGTGGCTTCCCCTTCGGCCATCCTCCTTTCCACTTCAGCCTGGTCACATCCGCTCAACGGCAGAGCAGGCCTCCCCTTAACATCGTTCTCAGGGAATAAATAATCAGCCTAATTATTGTGGCTGATCCCCGGCACCCTTTTCTTCTTACCTTTGTGATCAACCGCCCCTAAGGTATTGAGGCATATATGATAGTGACAGAGCAATTCCCACAAAGTCTCGACCACCAAAGGGGAGCGGTCAGAAAGTTGGTCGATCTCATCTTGACCAGGAACGTACTCCTCATACGGAAAGTCTCCCAACGGCTTTCCTAACACATCGTACATCTCGTGAAGGGCTATGCCGAGCTCACCATTAGGGGTGAAAAACGTGCCACTATCCGCACAATACAGCTCCAAAATGCTGTGGAACTGGGAAGCATTAATCTTCAGACCGTGCCGAGTGGCCTGAATGGCCGAATACAGCTCTGAGTTCGCAAGATCAGAGTTCTCGACCAAAATGTAGTCAGTAATCTTGGACCACCAAGTCTTGTTGCCAGACGCAGAGTAGATCCATCCCGGAGCTCTGAAATCCTTCGGGGGAAATTTCCCGCCGGCTTGGAAGAAGCGATGACGGAAAGTCTTCGCGACCGCCGTCGTCTCCCCAGTAGGCGCCTCATTGGAAGGTAGGCCCGGACGCAGGCCAGTCACGCCCAGTCACCCGTTTACAAGAGCTCTCTCCCCCGTCCCCAGCCGTGGAGCCTGTAATGACGCCGCAAGTCACCCCGTCTTGAGTAGGGGTCAAATCCCAATTCATTGTCCTCGGAACCGCAAGGGAGCGCAGCTCGACGATAGAGAACCCTCTCGGCATGTTGGGAAGGTAGTTGTGAACCCCGTCCATTGCGCGAAGCCACCTGCTCTCCTTGATCAGCAGGAGCGAAGGATCAGTCGCAGCATCGCCGAACAAGAACTGGGGCTTGTGTAACTCTGTCCTGGCCTTGTCTGTCAACACCGCGTCGGTGGTCAACTCACGTAGCGTTAGATGGTGCCCGTCAGCGACTCTCTTTATCAAGCCATCCGGCTTATCAGCAGAGAACACAGGCACCGGATTCAAGGAGGGAAATCGGGGAGGCGCCGTATAGCCATGGCCATGCCCTTCAGAAGAGCTTCGTCAGAAAAGGTCGCTGTAAGAAAGAACCAAAGAGTCAAGACAGGATCCTCCTTAAGGGTAGATCCGCCAATCAAGTAAAGACGAGCTAATTCGCCTGTCAGAAGGCGAAACCCGCTCAACTAGAACGAGATCCGCCTGTGAAAACGATGCTCCCCTTTACCAGAGAAAAAGTCGAACTCGCCTATCAAAAGCGAGTTCGCCTTCGCCCAATAAAGGTCGATTTCGCCTGTAGAGGCAGAAATCATCCTTTATGAGTAAATACAAAATCCGCCCAAAAAGGGGGCGACTTTGCCCTAAGTCGGGGAAACTACCAAAAGATGACTGAATCCAAGGGAGACAAGCGATGCTCATCCCCCCAACCCGACGTCTGTAACCTACGCAAAGTTGTCAGACTAACCTCTCGACTTACCCAAGTGTGTATCATGTATGCTGACGGGTGCGCCGGTGGCGAGGCGGTCGGAATAGCGTCCGGGACCTCCTCCTTTCGCAACATACCTCTTGGATTTCGGCACCATTGAGGGAATTAAGCGGGAACTCTTTCTCCTTAGAAAATTTTCAAGATTTTCGAGCACGGTAACCCTCAAAGGAAGAGAACAACCTTTTTAAAGGCGGAGTTGCCAACGTGGCCACGATCGTCCTCAAAAAGAAAAGCACCGGCGGACGAGAGACGTAACCACGATCGAAATCAACGGCCCAGATTGCCCCCGACATTTCGAAGTGCCACGTCAAGACGGGAAATGGGCCGGTCGAAAACCCAGGACCCGAGTCGAAATTGACGGTTGTATCCAACGGCCGGGGTCGAAAACCACGACCACGATTCAGACGAGGCGCACGAAGCTTACGTTAGAGCGGGCCGTGACGGAACCACGCCGTCTTAGCTGGAAAGCACGAAGCCCACCAGCAGACGTGTGGCTCACCCACGTCGAACCTAGTCTCGCCCAAAAGGAAGGGTCTTGCCTGCGAAAACTCGACCCAAATCCGCAAGTCGAACAAAAATCCACTTCCAAAACCTAACTTTGCCTGAACGGCTCATTCGCCCTTGGAGACAAACGACAAATAACATGACTTGTCCCAAACTTGGAACCGCCAACGAGATGACCTCGCTTAAGCCCATGCCTCGAATGGCTGAGGTTTAGAGTAGAAATCTTAGCATCAAGTCTAAGAGAAACTACTCGACAACTCATCATCCTGAGGGGAATAGTATGGCTAGCCCGATTCAAACGGTAATCGTTAAAGGCATATCAAACCCGTTGATAGCTGAGGGTTTGCTAAAAATCCTAAAAGAAACCAAATGTACTTGTCTCGCCAAAAACTTCTTTATTCAAAGTATTCCAGACCACACACAAGCCGGTTTAGGTCTGAAAACTTTGAAGGGGGTCTTGTAGATGGTAAAAAATACCTCCGTGAACTCGCAAGAAATCCTCTTGTAAGGGGAAGTCGCCCAAAGCCACGCGAATTCACTCTTTATCACAACTCGCCTAACCAAGTCTGTATTCAAATCCGCCAGCAAACCTCAAGGCTGCTAACACAGCCAGATATCTGCTACCCCACGTGCTGAGGCGGGCTTTCCCACTCCTCTCGACCCGAAGGGAGAGGGCACAGTACTCCAAGGTCGTCAAGTGGCCGCTCACAGTACGAAAGATTGGGCAGGTGTCGAGTCGACCTGAACATTCATAAATGCAGCTCACCTCGGCTGTCCGAATCAGGAGCCGGATCCGCCGGCATTCGGCGAGCTGACCATGCCCACTCGAGTACTGGGAACCCGCTTTCCCACCTCTCTCGGCCTGAAGAGAGAAGATGCAGCACTCCAGGCCCACCGAATGGCCGCTCACAGTACAAATGATCGGACAAAACGCCAAATCAACCTGCACCCTCATAAATGCGACTTACCTCACTTGTCCAAGCGAGAGGCGAGATCCGCCGGCGCTCAGTGAGTTGGTCAGATCCACTCGAGTACCTAACAGTCGTTGTCACACGTACGAGGAGGGGCTTTCCCATTCCTACATAACGTGATGCAAAACACGGCTCCTCGAAGGACCGCTCATGGTACAGTTGAACAGTAGAATATCTCTGAGCAACGTATGGTCACATCCCATAATTCAGAGAACAGCAGAACTGTCTCTCTTTCATTTAAGAGCCTCTTCCAACAACTTTTAAAAGAGGTCGGAAAACTTTGAGAAAAAGGGGATGGAGACCAAGCTTTTTGCATAATCTTTGCATTGCAGCACCACTGCCTAGTTCTGAGCCCTGATCGCCGACGAACTAGCAGATCCGAACTCCATCGACTCGAGCTTCTACTGCGTATTGAAGCTCCCCAGCAACCTCGGTTGAACGGTCCAAGGGAAGCAGACTCGACACGAGCATCGAGCGAAGCATCCTGTAGCTACCAAAAGTCCCCACATTAAATAAAGAGGGCATTCCCTCTGCTTCTGTTGTAATTTCGATTTATTAGTTTGTGATAAGCCTTCTTATCAATACAAACGAAATTCCCTATTTTCGGGAAATCCAAATTTACACCCTACATGGGCTTTTATTTATTTCTTCATTAAA